AAATCCCTGGTCCCACCTTCAGAGCATTGGGGGGTTTTTTTGTTTTGTTTAAAGTTTCCAAGCTCAGTTCAAGAGGACTAGAGCCAGGAAGCTTCATGTTAAAAGCCAGTAGCTCAGCCATTGTCTTGACTTCAAAGGATATATCAAGGGATGTTTATCTTCTTCCCTCTGAACTTTCCTTTTGCTTACCGTACTCTTAAACTCAAGCATCCTTGTAAGGCAGAACTAGAACCGCACACACTACTATAAATGAAAGGATTATTCATAAACACGGTGAGACCGTTCAGCTCACGGAGCCAGCACAAAGCTAACTTAAGAAGAAAAACTAAAAACGATTACGTGTTTCCTGACACTTTGGCATTCCTCACAAGGACAAAGCTGAAAGCAGCCAGGAAACCACGGAGTCCTTCGCAAAGAACGCAAGCTGATGGGCAAGGGCTCTGCCAGACAAGTTCCCTGCTGCTGTTCACGACATGGATGTATGCTGCCGGGCTGCCCAAGCTTACTCCTGCCTTAGCAAGTCCCGAGGGAGACGCTGAGCCGCTGCATCCTGGAGCACTGGAGAAAGTCACCTTCACCAATCTTCCGAATTAATGTGCCAGAGAGGAGCTGGGGGGCCAAGGTGTGTAGCCCCACACCGTGCTGGGGAGAAAAGAACGATGTTCCCCCATCAGTACAGACGTCCGTGATGAGCAGGGGCATTGCAACGGTTAGTCCTCTGCCTCCTGCACATTTGTTTGTGGATGGCGCTGGGTAAAACAGCAACACTGGTTTAAGGTGCTCTGCTGCCTTGCCCAGACAGGGAATTGGTTCCTGTGCCAGGGTCCTGTGAGCAGGGGACACTCAGAACCTCTGTTTGGCTGGGGGAGCAAGGAAGGAACGTTTATTCTGAAATACTGGAGATGTGGGAGGATGAGGGGAAATCTCTCCAACGCTAGTCATTTGAAGTCAGAAATCAAGGCTGAAGAGCTTGAAACTTTGGCAGTCTATGATCTGATCCAACAAACCACCCAAGCATGCCCACACCAGAGAGACTGCGTCTGCACATAAACAATTAATACCTCAAACATCAACGCCTGCTCCTGGGATAGATCTTGCCTGTTGCGTTCGCTTCACACATGGGAAGGCTCCAGCATCGTGAAAGCAGAGGAAGACGGAGGCGGGCAGTCACACAGGCTGAGGTACTGCAAAAACCATCAGGGACGCGAAGCCTGGGAGATTCTGCTCTGTCTCCATTTCACCCTTTTGCTGGAAAATTACCCCCCCACAACACCGCTTTGCTCCTCATGGAGACAGTCAGCTCAGGACTGTCTTAGGCAAAAAGAGACAAGGCGGAAATGGTGAAAAAGCCATCAAAGTGGCCAAAGTAGAAAAGCAGGACACATATGGTGAGGACCCTAGATCCCAGCCAAACTGCCAACCTCTGCAGGTGTCCAGAATGCACCAGCATTGACAGTCAAGCACCAGAACAAATAACAAGATTACCGAAAACACAGGAGTACAAACAGCTGCTACCATTACTACTGAAAACACCCGCTGTTACTGCTTCCCTTGTCAGCTCCACTACAGGCAAAGAAGGAACTGAACCAAAAATTTCTCTTTGATGTCAGAACCAGAAAGTCCCTACTGAAAGTGCTTACGTTGGGGAACCGTGGTCTGACCTCCACCTCTTCCAAAGGGTCAGCCAAGCGCCTCCCGGTCTGCAGCAGTGCCGGCGAGGCGGTCAGGCCACAGATGCTTGGCTGGCGAACGGTGTGGTGGAGGCTGGGCACACAGGCAGGATACAGATAAGCCGAGACCCAACAAGAACGGATGCATCTCTAACCCAAGGATGGAAGTAGTGAGGAGGAGGGGAAGGTGTCAGGGTAGTGGCACCAAGGATGGACCATAGGGAACAGACAGGTGGGAGATAGCGCATCGCAGTTTGCTCCCAAAGAGCAGAATCTGTTCTGTTCAGCCACTGACAAGTTAGTGCCTGGACTTAGCTGCTTTCTCAGCAAGCAATGGATATCAGCATCTCCCAGAGTCATTCCTGTTTTGAACAATGTCTCTTGGGATATAGGCTCTTCGAATGTCTGTAGAAGTCAGGACAACTGCCTTGGACAAGAAACCTCACGCTAGATCCCCATAAGCCACATTTAGGCTGCTAACCCCAGGCAAAGGGCCTCTCCAAATGAGCGTGTGCCTCCTGCAGCCTCCCCCCAGCCTGTTTCTCCCCCTTGGCAGAGGCTGTGCTGGCTGAGCTTTCTCTGCACACAGAGGTGGCTGCCAGCATCACTTTCATCCCAAAGCTGGGAGGCAGGAGGCACTCAGCCATTAGAGCAGGCTGAAAGGCAGCGCTCACCTGGCTGCTGCAGACCCAGTTCTGAGAAACTCTGAGCTTCCGCTCTCCTATAAGAGCTTCGGCATCAAAGTTTCCCTTCCTCCTCCTCCTCCATCACCAGCCCTGCAGGCACCAGGCAGAGCCTCTCTTCCCATCCCTGCATCTCTAAATTTGCCTGGTTGCTGAGCACGTCTATTCTAGGCAGGCAAAGGCAGGCGAGATGAGGGAAGCGAAGCGCACGCATCAGTTGCGTCGTGAGCAACATCAGTGCCAAGTTCTTCTCTGCTATAGCCAGTTCAGACAGAGAATGTGTCTGATGTGGTATTCCAAGCCAAGTAAGACAATTTGTGAAAGAAATTGGAAAAAAGTTCTTTCTGTATAAAACATCCAGGCAATTCTCAATTATCTGGGGACACAAGGAGAAGCAGAAATAGCCATTATAACAGAAGAAACTACTTAATACAAAACATGGGTCAACAAAGTGATCAGATCATAAGAGGACAAGGAGAAGCAGAAATAGCCATTGTAACAGAAGAAACTACTTAATACAAAACGTGGGTCAACAAAGTGATCAGATCATAAGAGCAAGGTCAGGACAGAAAAGAAATACCATTTTAGGACACCAAGATCCCTAAGCTGGCCTAAGCTGAGAATTGACATGGTACAGCAAAGCAAACTAGTTGCCCTGGTCCCAAAGCAAGTCCTGCTAGGCCTGAGCAGATCTCTGAAAGCCTGCAAGTGCTTTCCAGCTTTGGGCAGTACCATCTGCGATACAGCTAATCCTCAGTTAGCCCGGAAGGATTGAGGGCTGACAGCAGGGCTCGTCTCCACAGTGGGGAAAGGAGGGAGGATGCTGTGCATATGCTATCCACTCCCCCAGCAAAGCAAAGTAGTTGCCCTGGTCCCAAAGCAAGTCCTGCTAGGCCTGAGCAGATCTCTGAAAGCCTGCAAGTGCTTTCCAGCTTTGGGCAGTAACATCTGCGATACAGCTAATCCTCAGTTAGCCCGGAAGGATTGAGGGCTGACAGCAGGGCTCGTCTCCACAGTGGGGAAAGGAGGGAGGATGCTGTGCATATGCTATCCACTCCCCCAGCAAAGCAAAGCGTGAAGGTACCAGGGACGGGAACAAATGAATCAGTTTTCATACACATAAAATCACGGCCATTATCTGGACTGGGTTTCCAAGGCAGGTAATGAGGGCAGTAACTCAGAAGGGTGTATCATGTCAGAAAAGCCGGTTATGTCCATCACATCTTATCTCCTACATATTGAAAAATAAAAACAGTCCCTCCTTCCTGAGAGACTTAATCTTCTAGACAGGATTAAAGTCTATCAGTCAATGGGCTACCCCGGAGAGAACAATCCAGCATTTGCTGGGTGATAGCTGAGATCGTATCAGCAAGTGATCCTAGTGCTTGGAGGGGAATTAGAGGGGAGCACAGGCAGCCCGAAGGTAGGAAAGCATTTTCTGCTTTTAGCTTCCCTACTAATGCATGGTGGCATTTCAGGCAAACCAGCTCCCATTTTCATGCCTTGTTAATCTCAGTGGTACAGTCAGAGCAAAGCCAAGCCCAGCTCTGGTTCTGCCTTCTCTCAGCTCCCATTGGCTGTAATTACAGGCAAATGCCTTTTGATTGTCCTTGAAGCACAGGTCTTAGGCACCGCGAATGTGGGAGCCAGGATTAGAAGACACTTTGGAAAACACTGCCTGCAGCTAGACTAACCCGTGTCAGAGACAAAGCGTTTCTCCCAAGTCATTTGGCAGCACCTCACACTCTCTGGCAACTGCCTCAACCCTTGTGCTTGTCTTTTTTTTTTTTACTGTCATCTTGTGGTGGCCATGAACTCCTGCACCTGTACCCTTGTTCTTGTCAGCTTGCAGGACTCTACCAGCCTCATCCAACATGACTGAGAACAAATAGGTTTCTGCTAAGAAGGAGACATGATGCTTCTCTGTAGCACCTTCTTGGAGAACATCTGTAGCACAAATAGTTCTTTTGTATTGGCCTAACTCAGGGCAGGATGGCTATGCAGGTCAGCTACACCCCAAACACTGCTCTCCTAACAGATACAGCTTTGCTTTGTAAGAGGAGTGCCCTCTGCTGAAATAACAACAGTCCTACAACAGGCAAAGCATTTTCTCCAGTTTCCTTCATGCACTGAACACATTGCCTCACAGATCTGGAACACAACCCGGGACAGATCACAACCCAAACAACAGGCAAGTGAATACAGTCCATTTAATACAGTCAAACACAGAGGGACCACAACAGCAAAACAAGCTAGACTGAGGCATGTCAGGTGGGCAGGAATGAAACAACAGGCAGGAGAATGTGTTGACAGATCTAAGACTGCAGAACTGTAGGTGCCACATCTCTCCAACACACAGAGCCACCTCTTCCTCGCGCTGGACAAAGTTCTGAGGTCTCGTCTCTGGTGGCCAGGAGGAGGCTGGAGAGAGGTGTCTGGAGCTGGAGGAGCTGCCCTCAGCATGGTCAGTGCTCTCAAACACTGAGCACACTGTCCACCTGCAAGGAAAGGAGCAGCTACGCCAACTGCTCCATGCTGGAGAGAGGAACCCCAGGGCAAAGAAGAGTTTCAGGGCCGAGTCCCAGACCGAGGAATGTCACAGCTGCCTCAGTGCAACTCACCAGTTCAGCCTCTCCCGCTCAAAAACCTAGGGAGCCCCACCAGCAAAGATGAGCTCCAGGGCAGCCTGAATGTCCCCTCCAGTGGCTTGCAGGGCCCGGAGACTTAGCTCGTCATCGTGTATGCCCATGTCTCGCAGCTGCTGAAGCTGTGGTTGCCACTGGCTCTACAGACAGGAAACAAAAGAAGCTAAGGATAGGTGCAAGCAGAAACAAAACAGCCTTGTCCACAGCTCACTCTTCCGCGCTGGATTCTCCCCCTCTCTCTAGCTCACAAGTACAACGCTAAGTACGCAAACAGATCTTGAAAGCTCAAAGTCTTGCTGCCAACTCCCCAAATCCACCAGCCCACCCCCCCTGCTTCCACCCAGTACTTTTGCATCAGTCTATCATGCCTCCTGCAAGCACCACTTCTCCAGTGAAGCCCCTTCCAGCTTAATGTCCTGCCACAGGAGGTGGCTGGAAGAACCACCTCCACCCTGCAACACTCAATGCGATACGGGGCTTTCACGGGCTCCCAAAGGAAGAGGTTGCAACACTGACCTGCAGGCTGGGCTGCCCTGAGGCCTGCAGGGCATGCTGTAAGGCCTGGCTGAAGAGGTCGTTGGTGATGGGTGTTCCTGACTGGACACTGGATGACATCGGGGAGGTCCCAGAGGAGTGACCCTAGGAGGAAATAAGTTGTATATGGATCAGGAGAACGCTTGTCACAGGAACCAGAGCCAGCACAGGGCAACGCCTGCTGCACCCCCACTATCATGCCTCCCCAAGCCCATACAGAGGAGACCCCAGCCACAATAAAATAAAACAGCGAGGACTTCCAGACCTGAGCAGGACTTGCGCTCTGTCAAGCACCGGTTTTATGGCCCAGGAGGATCTCCCTAGCTGGTGCGCTGCCACTGTACCTGGGTGCCAGGGGTGGGCGTGTGGGAGCTGCTCTCTGGGGTGCTCGCCAGTGCCAGCGCGGTCGCCAGCTCGCTCTGGGTGATCGGACGGGGTCCAGCAGCCCCAGCATAGCCAAGGGAAGCTGGGCGGGAACCAGAAGTGCTGCTGGATGGTGTAGATCTTGTGCTCTGCACGGAGGGGAAAAAAGAAAACCACCTCAGATGTTTGTGTCTGTGTCCCAGTAAAATCTGGCTCATGCGCTCATCCCTGGGGATCCTTTTCCTACAATACTTGAAACTCAAGTGCAGTACTTTTGAAAAATAAACATGACAGAATCAGATGTGCTTTTTTCCACAAACTCAGCTTTTACAAAGCTGCAGAAACTGGCAGTAAACCTTTTAATGTATCATCGATCAGCTTAAAAAGAAAGTGTTATTAGCCTATAACAAAACAATTAACCATTGACAGGCCTGAACATGTAATTTCTCTTTACAAAATACTTTGTCCTTTGGAGAGGAAAACCTCCCTACATTACAGAAGAAGGGCAGGGACCAACACTCCCATGCTTCTCAGCCATGCTCATCTGCGCACAGCTCTGGCTCTGCGTCAATTTGACCATGAAGGTGCTCGGTCTGAGGACAATTGCTGTTGCGAGTCGTGCTTCTGCATTCTTTTCTTGTGACCCTACCTCAGCACTCAAGAAAATCCTAACATGAACAGCATCCAAACACACCACAATCAATATGTTTGTCTCCACAATTCCCCTAGGAGCAGCCGTGCTGTTCATGAGACAGGAAGAGAGAAAACTTCTGAGTCTTTAAGGGCTACGTGTTAAACTCACATTGCAAGTCCAAAACAGCCGTTCCACCTAACCTGGCCGCTTACCTGGTGGAAGTCGTCTTCGTCATCAGAGAGACCTTCAAAAAGAAAGCCACCTGCAACAGAAAGGAGAATCAACAGATGCAGAAAACTGGGTGCTGGCAGGAATTAGCACCAGACAAGAATCCTGTTGAGTCCTTGGCCATGCAGCCGGGCTCAGCCCCAGCTAACGCACTGGTTAGGACAGAGGCCTCAGCACCAGCAAGTTCACGTCCAGCAGGTCAGTGGAAGACATGTCAGGCCCATCATTTGCACAAAACAGAGGCCACAGCACACTGCTACCAACAGTCACTATACACGCTTGGTTGGGAGAGGCCCTGAGGCTGAAGTGGACCAGATGAGTCTCACACAGCACAAAATCTATCAAACCACAGCGCATGTTCCTAGCTCAGGAACCCAAACCTCTCTTCCTTCCAGCCTGGGGATGACTGTGTCAGTACAGCACAGATTTGTCTGCAAATCCTGCAGCACATCATCTCTGCAGGTTCCTCACTCGTCCATGTGGCTGAACGTACCTGGCATGTCCCGGTAGGAGCCAGAGGACATGCCTCGGGAGGACGTCTCTGGGGCTGGGAGCGGGGTGCTGCCAGCCACCGAGTGCAGAACAAGGACAATGGCATTCACCAGCGCGGGGTGGGCTGGGATTAGCCTGGAGAGAAAGAGCGGAAGAATGAATCACGTACACAGGGAAACTAAGAAATCAGCAGCTCAACACCAGCAAAGAACTTATGTCAGGAATGGCAGAGCCATCCCCACTGGCTGCGCCAACACCACCTCAGATACCGCCTTTGGCTGTCCAGCACCAAACACCTCCCCACCTTGCTCCACACAACCAGAGAAGCTGAGGCTCCTTCTTGATGCTATGTTGACCCTCCCGTCGTATACATCTCCCATATGCTCTCATGGGAGCAACTCTGCTGTGAGCACCCAGATCGAGATCTGAACCCACGATCTGGAGGCAATGATGGCCCTGTCACCCACTAAACATCCTTTGGTTTAATCCAAGAGTGGAGGCAGATGCCTATCAAAGCATCAGCTCCCTCCTTTCTGCTGCTGAGGAAGAAGAGTTCTATCCTAAATCTCTGGCCTGGTGTACCTGTACTGGCAGGCAGCAGCAGAACTCTCTCTCCCACCCAGGGAGAAGCGGTCTGTACAACAGTGTGACAAAGGCATTGCTTAGTCACTGCACCAGCTTACGTGAACTTACGTGTCCAGCATATTGGGGTCTGCAAACACTGAAAAGAGATCTTTGTCCTGCAGGACTCCTGGGAGGGACCAGGAAACACGACGAGTAAAAGACAGGATACAAGAAACAAGAGCCAGTCAAACAGGAGCCACGGGAAAAACCAAAAGAATTAATTGTTTTTCAGGAACTGAGTCACTAGCAGACACCGTAAATACTCTATTATTGTTCTCTCTGAAGCCTTTTACGTCTTCCTGGAGGGACTCTCGATCACAGCCCCAAGGGATGGGGCTTTCCCAGCAGATCCCACGGGCTGTGCTCCAGCACAGACAGCTCCACCGTAAGGGCAGGATCAAGTCTGGCACCCAGCTCACCCCAGCCAGCTGCTTGCTGTGAGAGGTTGCGACTGCATCCCATACTCCACCTGCCTCACAGCAGTGTGCCAAAAAAGCTAGTAACATCCCGGGCCAGAACAAGCACGCTAAATTTAGTGAACATTTTTGTAATGCTTTGCAGCAGGGAAAAAACATCCAGCCGCACTGCTCTCCTTTGGGCTCCGTATTCCCTAATTCTTTTGAAGCCAGCGTCCGTCCCCAAACATTACCAACAGAGCACAACTCTGACACCTGAGCAGGCACTTACTCTTATGGTCCACAAAGGAACCAAAAAAGACACTTTCTCCAGAGAAGGGGAACTTCCCTTCCCCGTCTCAGGAATTAAACACTATCTTTCTTTGGCTTTCCTCAGATCTTCTGGATCTCGTCTGGACTCACCCAAAGCAACAGGGTCGCTGCTGAGGCCGGGAGTAGCTACAATGATCTGATCCAGCGACTCCTTGTTCCCCAGCATTTTGAAGACCTACGAGAGAAATCAGAGCAGATCAGCAGCGTCGCACAACGAGGCTCCACTCAAGGACTCTCTTCACAGAGAGGGGACAGACAAAAGACACCCAGGCAGCAAAGTATGAAGCCACCCGCTCACCGCATCTCTGTAGGCAGGACTGCTGTGCAGGGCCGTGTGAAGGACCCGGAATTCCCGTACTGCTGCCACCTTATCCACAGGCTCTGAGGGAGGAAAAATAACAGAATAAAACATGGTTCTCCCTCTGTCAGCTTCACTGGCCATTTTACATGCCACTGGGACTTCCACACTGCAATAGTCGTGGTGATTCTTCGATTCCCCTGGATTCGACTGACCAAGAGAGGAAGGGTACAGACAAATGATTGCGAATGTCTCATTTACCACAGCGTAACAGGGAACTGCACTCTCAGCTTCCAGACATATAAAAATATATAGGTATATCCTCCTACACGTACAAAAGGAGCTGTATTAAAGTAACAACTTTAAACTAACCCATCTTATTCTACAGTCAGGCAGTTTAGGAACACACACAAGCCTGTTCATCCCTCAAGCTGAGTTCCCAATTCTCTGGCAACACCCTAAAATTGATCATAGTCAATTAAGGAAGGGATATTCACTCTCCATATTACATAGCTCATTCCTTAACTCACCCATCAGCAAGAAAACATAACACCCATTTGCTGCTGTTAGAGGTGGAGAGTTCCCACACAAACATATCGATCAATTCCTCCTGCAAACCCCACATCAGCCTCCCAGAAACAGATCACAAGAGAAGCTGTTCCTCAGTCACAAGCGACCCACACCAAACACATCCCGAGGAGATCTAAGCTGTAACCCACACTGCCTCCTCCTCACCTGGTTTCTGATCAGGCTCAGGCCAGGACTTGCGCAGGACATGAACAGTGGAGCCAGACTGGATGCCATAAAAATCAAGCGTCTGGTCATCCCTCAGCTTACGCCCACAGTAGATCAGATCTAGGAGAGAGAAACATCTAAAGATAAATGTCTATGACACACTCAGAAAGGGCCTGGGGTCTTTAAGTGAGGACTGCCCGGGGGTTATTGCTCCACATGTGTAGCTGCTTCATCACTTCAGCAGCACAGGGACTCCGTAACACAGGGAAGTTACGGACCTGAGATTCAGGGAGGAAATCGTGGAGCTGAGATTCACAGAACGTGACTATGCCACCTCCTTCAGAAGGGCTGACTTCTCTCACGGTTCTCATTAGAGACACATTAGTGTCACAAGGACACATTGGCGTTAGCAAGTCAAGAGATTTCTTAACAAGGGCACTGACACTGCAGGAGCACTGTGATCCCAAGCAAACGCAGAACGAACTAGCAGAATCACAAGGTACTAAGACTGCTGCAGCGTAGCGGAGTCTCTGGAGCAAGCTTTGAGCCCCCACGCCGTGCTATGTGGTTGTGCCAAGTCTCCCCACCAGCCCAAAATCACTTACAGTAGGATGTTTGTGTCCCGGCCACAGGGAGGAGAGGAAGAGGGTGGCCCCAAGTGGCAGGACTTTGACACGACCCACGCAGGCACCTACCGATGAGCTCAGGGTCTGGGACAGACTCCTGCAGTTTGCCGGTGATGAGCTGCTTAAGGTACGAGATGCTGCACCCACCGAGCGGGCATTCTCCCAGCTCTGTCTCCGGCAAACGTAAGATGGATTTGGGAGCCAGGGGCTGATCCGCCAGCTTCACCGCGATGTGCCACTCTGGCAGGGACATTTCAGCCTTCTCACTGACCAGAGCCAAGCAAAGACCCGCAAAGCTCTGGAAAGGGAGGAAAACAAATCAAAGTGAGACTGGCCCCCAACCAGACAATAAAGCCTTATAAATTCACGGGGCGAACCTTTGCTGGGAAGCACACAGGAAACTACCAGGAGGCCTGACCAACGCACAGCCATGCTTTTAGGTTCCTACCTCAGTCTTAAGCCATATCTGAAGCTA